CTGCAACCTAACGACATCATGGTCAGCTTTGACATTGTATCACTCTTCACCAACGTCCCCACCACCGACGCTGCAACATCGCACGAGAACGCTTGGAACAAGACCCTTCCCTCCAAGAATGCACAGACCTCACTCCGCACCAGATCCAAGACCTGCTCACAGCTTGTGTAACGACTACCAGCTTGCGATGGCGAGACAAGTACTTCGAACAAACCACGGGAACCTCTATGGGATCTCCTATATCCCCGGTTCTTGCTGATATCTACATGGACCAATTCGAACAAACAGCCATCACCACAGCCGATCTCCACCCCACAGTCTGGCTCAGATATGTTGACGACACGTTTGTCATATGGCCCCACGGTCAAGACAATCTAGTCACATTTCTGGCACACCTCAACAGGCTCTGTCCCAGCATCCAGTTCACCATGGAACAAGAAAGAGATGGCACCATCTCCTTCTTGGATGTTGAGGTGGCCAGACAACCTGATGGGACCCTCTCCCACAACGTGTACCGCAAGCCCACCCACACGGACCGGTATCTCCACAATCGATCATTCCACCATCCCAGAATCAAGAAATCGGTCAACACCACACTTGTCCGCCGAGCGTACAACGTGTGCGACAAGAACAACTTGCCAGGCGAACTACAACACATCTCCACAGCACTACAACGGAACGGTTACATGACAAGTCAAGTCAAGATCCAAGCACCTACACCCCACCCCGACCGACGGGTCTCCTCTACCCCAGGTCAACCATATAGACACATTAGTTCAGTCACCCTCCCGTTCATAGGCCATACATCCCACCGCATCCAGCGCATCCTTCAAGAACAAGGAATCAGAGTATTCCACACCGCACCAAGCAAGATCAAGCACATTCTCCAGTCACACAAGGACACCCAGGACTCAACGACAAGACCCGGTGTTTACAAGATACCTTGTGAATGCGGCCTGGTGTACATCGGGGAGACAGGCAGGGATCTGTCTACACGTCTCAATGAACACAAGGCCCATGGCCGACGAGGAGAATATGACAAATCATCCATCATCAGGCATTCACACAAAACAGACCACGTCATCCAATGGCAGAATGCACATCTCATCACCAGCATCGAACGGTGGCATCCCCGACGAATAAGAGAGGCCATCGAGATAAACAAAC